TCGACGTATCCTCGTAGCTGCAGTCCAATTGTCTCCAACTCGTCGTCGGATAGACTGTGTGCAACCTCACTGAGCGGCCGACCAGGTACCTCAGTCATAAGGGTATATGCGAAATTACCCCATTCTGTTTCACGGGTGATATAGTCGACCAGCGTGGGGGCGGGGACATTCGTATGCCGCTTGACTTGCGGACGTGTAACCATGTTTGAGATACAAGCCAAAGGGAAGTTTGTACACTCGTTGCGACAGCCCTTTCTTTGACGGGACAAAGATTCTCAACATCTTCGGCCAAGATTCGTATGCGTACAGTCGCAGTCGTAACGGCAGCGCGGTCCAGAGCCTGACCCAAAAAGGCGCACCATCTCGAAGTTCTGGAAATGGGAAGGTAGCTTTAGGTGCAGGAAATAATATCATGGTCTAACGTCGACATCAGCATCGTCAGCTCTGAATTGACATCCATACCCACGATGGAATGTACGACGCGCTTTTCTTTCGGGAAAGACAATAGGTCCAGAATAAGAGAGGCATGTGTCTCGGGGCGGATGCAAAAGTCTCATCAATGATATTGACAGCAACATAAATAATCCAAGCATCATCATAAACCACGGTGATAAATTCTCGCAAATGGAATCCAATAACATCTACCTCCAACCTTTGCTCGAGCCCGCGACGCGAACGAACAACTTTTGCATATGCTATAAAACCACCCAGGACGACAGGGGCTCTCGTGCGGACTTCGCCAAGCGATGGTACGGGCGCGAGACCTGGGAAAATAACGGCTCGTTCTCCGATGATACAACATCCACAGCCATAGTCTAAATCAAGCTCGCCAACCTCGGCCTTCGCACAAATGTGTATATGGATAGTCATAAAACTTTTGCGAAGCAACATGATGGGAACCGCGATCAGCTGAGCGAGAGAAGTATCATTATCGCCTTCCTCGACCATCTCCATGGGCTTGGGCTTGTTAGCGCACGAGGACAGGATATCATGGATGAAGCCCTCGGGGAGATTCAGAGGAGGAATAATACACCCACTCCGGACATAGTGGTTTCGAGGTATTTCCTCAATGTCGGGGGAAGTGCGTTTTGGGTGCGTACCTGCAATATAGTCATATCTGACTCAGCTGACGTGTGACAGGTCTTCACCCATTATCGGAACCATATGCCGCATCCTACAGTTCTCGATGTTTCCAATGCTTTCCTGAAGTGGAGAGGGATCAATAGTGAAGAATAACGAAATGTTGTACCTTTTGTATGCACAAGACTGCAATCGCCTGAAATATCTACTCGCTGTTCGACTTTTATGTGACATTTGACATTGCTCAGATCCCAGAAGTCTATCTGATCGCCGTACCAGGAGTACAGCATGTTTCCCTTCATACGACACGAATGAACATCTGGGATTATAGGATGGTTCAATGCGCAAACTTATCTCTCATCATTTCGGCCCCCATCTCATACTTCGTCGCATCCTCAAAGTGCTCACTCAGTCCTTGAAGACATCAGTTTGGAGGAAATGAGGTGCGAGTGCGTGTAGTACTCACACATCCTGGCATCCACACTGCCGTTTGGAGGAAATAAGGTGCGAGTGCGTGTAGTATTCACACATCCTGGCCCCACACTGCCGTCATATTGGGATTTGCCCAGCCGTCTCCCGATCAAGCACCCTAGGATATTGTCATGACGGATTATGATCTCTCGATCGGCAAGAATGAGGTGAAGCTAGCACTCAGCGGATGCTTTCCAGTGTGTTTGTCGCATCATCATATGCATCCACGAAAAGGAGTTGCAGACACATGTGGAACTGAGAGGAATGTCCAAAGTGTACGTGCATTGAATGGTGCATGTAGGGCCTCCAGATACATAATGTAATGGTATGAAGCCCGACCCCGAATAGTTCCATCATCTCGTGATGTTCTTGGAGCTGAAGCCGAATGCTGTTCAGCGCGTCGTGCGACAACATGTCCAGGATTTCTTCGAGCGAGCGTCCGGGTACTTCGGTGTCCAAAATGTTTGTACATCAACAAACCGGCTCTAGTGTATGAACGATGTAGTCGGCCATCATGGAAATGGGGATGGTTGTATGTCGGTTCACGCGCCACAGTGTGTATGGGCTTCGCATCGTCAGGAGCTTGAGATACAGACTGGCACCAGCTTGTGCATTCTGGGCAGTATATTTGCTTGGTAATCAAAGTATTGAGGAATTGTTTCGCTTTTATGGTACCAACTATGGTATATAAATTAGGTATTTTAGATGAGTAATAAAATTTAA